GCAGAGGCCGTGGCGGCCCAAATCAAACAAGCGCAAGTCGAACAACTAAGGGTCGATCGGTTATTAGCGTAGGTGCGAGATTTGCAGGCTCGAGTCGAGGAGAGAAAAATAGGAAGCTCGAGGGGACACCCTTTTTCACAGCATGTTCTAGACGCTGACTTGCCTCAGGGGTTTAGAGAACTTAACATCTGGTACGACGGGTCGACTGACCCCTCTCGACATCTGAGGAGTTTTGAAAACATGGCGGTATTGCACCGCTACAATGATCCCGTTCAATGTCGAGCGTTCCTGACGACTTTGCGAGGACCTGCGCAAGACTGGTTTCATCAATTGCCCCCGGGAGCCGTCAGGGACTTTGACGGATTTAGTTCAAGTTTCCTGAATCAATTCGCAAGTGTAAAGGCCCAAGAAAAGTCTTACCTTACCCTGATAGGCATGCAACAGAAAGAAGGAGAATCATTGAGGGATTACGTGGCAAGATACACTCGAGCAAGCGTCGACGTCCCCTCAGCCACTGAGGAAATCAAGTCGGGGGGACTCACTAGAGGACTCCTCCCAGGATTGTGCAGAAATTCCTTGGCAAAGCGACCCGGGAGGACGTTGGATGAGGTCCTAGGAAGGTGCGTCAAATACATGAATGTCGAGGAAGCCGAAGCCGACTTTTTGCAAGCGGCTAAAGCAAAGACTGAATCCCAGGACGAGAAGAAGGATAAGAAACCAATCACGTCGGGAGAAAGGAAAGGATCCCCGAAGTCAGAATGGGAGGGGCGATCAAGGGGATGGAGGACAACTCAGTATACCCCCATGTCAGCCTCGAATGCAAGGATATTGGAGGTAATGGAGAAAGAAATTCGCGAAAGTGTTGTCAGGTGGCCACGGACGAGAAAGGATGGACCGACAAAGCCCAAAAGTGATCTGTATTGTCGATTTCATAAGGATTACGGGCATAATACCGAAGAATGTCGGCACCTGAAGAATGAGATCGAGAGACTAATCAAAGCAGGCCATCTAAAGGAGTTCGTTTATAAGGATCGAGATCGAACCAGTCGGCGAAGGGAGAGAAGCAAGAGCCCTTGCAAGAGAGCGAGGACACCCGACAAGGAGAAGCTCCCTCAGAAAAGAGGAATAATTCATATGATATTCGGAGGGCCAACTGATGGAGATTCAAATCGGGCCAGAAAGGCATATGCTCGAGGCCGCCACAGAAAATTGAAGTGCAACAGGTTGAGGAAAACGGTCCAGTGATGAATTTTGGGCCAGCAGACATGGGGGAGGTCGAGAGACCTCACAATGATGCTCTAATGATCACTGCTCAAATATCAGGCTGTGAAGTGCAGAGGATCTTTGTCGACACGGGAAGCTCGGTGAATGTGATCTTTTACAATTGTCTTAAACGGATGGAACTCGACATCGAGCTTGCACCCCTACACACCTCACTTTTTGGATTTAATGGCTCAGAAGTCGCACCCCTAGGAGAAACCACGCTCGCTATCGTCCTCGGGGAAGGCGACTTGAGGAAAGTAAAGATGGTGCGATTTGTTGTAGTCGACGTCGAGTCGGCTTATAATGTGATTCTAGGAAGGCCAGCGCTCAACGCATTCCAAGCGATAGTGTCGACCTACCACATGAAGCTGAAGATCCCCGTTGGAGATAAAGTAGGGGAGGCCCGAGGAGACCAGAAGCTATCAAGAACTTGTTACCAGATAGCTGTGAAAACAAACCAACGAACAGAAGTTGAGGGAAAGAAGTCGGTGATGAGCGAGAAAAGGCCAAGAAATAGTGATCTCGAACCACACGGAGAGCTAATGGAGATACAAATCAGAGAAATGAAGGAACAGACCACTAAGGTCGGGAAAGATCTGAAAGACGAGTTGCGGAACCAACTCATCACACTACTAAAGGAGTTCAGGGATGTCTTCGCCTTCACCCCTGAGGAGTTGACGGGGATCGACCCCACTATTATGGAGCATAAACTGAATGTCGACCCCCTCAGAAAGCCAGTAAAGCAACGACTTAGACGCCATGGTGAAGAAATCGACAAAGCAATTGAAATTGAGGTGGATAAGTTGCTGCGAGCAGGACACGTCAAAGAGATCCAATTTCCCGAGTGGATATCCAACACCGTGATGGTGAGAAAGGCATTAAACAAATGGCGCATGTGCATCGACTTCCGTGACTTAAACTTGGCCTGCCCAAAAGATCATTATCCCTTACCACGAAATGATCAGCTCACCGACTCTACGGCTGGTTGCGAATTACTGAGTATGATGGATGCATCTCAGGGATACCACCAGATTCCATTGTGCCCGGAGGATCAGAGTAAGGTGAGTTTCGTGACGAGTAAAGGGATGTACTGCTATGTCGTCATGTCCTTTGGGCTTAAGAATGCTGGAGCAACCTACCAACGGTTGATGGATCGAATGTTCAAATCTCAGATTGGGCAAAATATCGAGGTATATGTGGACGATATCTTGGTAAAGAGTAAGGCCTCAACCTCACACCCAGACGATTTGAGGGAAACGTTCAAAACCCTTAGGGCGTTCGGGATGAAGCTGAACCCAAACAAGTGTGCCTTTGGAGTAAAGGCAGGTCGATTCTTGGGGTATATCGTCACAGAGCGAGGAATCGAGGTGAACCGGGAAAAAGTGAAAGCCATACTCGACATGGCTCCACCAAGAAATATAAGAGATGTGCAAGTTCTGACGGGACGAATTGCGGGGCTGAGCAGGTTCATTGCTCGAGCCGCAGAAAAAAGTTTCCCATTCTTCAGATTACTCAAAAAGAAGTCGACCTTCTCATGGAGTGACGAAGCACAAATGGCCTTCGAAAAGTTGAAAGAATTCTTGGGCGAGTTGCCTTTGTTGACAAAACCAGAGCCCGGCGACGAGCTGGTGCTTTATATATCTGTGGGTTCGGTATCACTAAGTTCAGTGTTATTGCAAGAAGAAGGAGGTGTCCAACAACAAATTTACTACACCAGTCGAGTTCTTCAGGGCGCAGAGACGAGATACTCTGAGATCGAGAAAGCTGCTTTGACACTGGTCATAACGGCTAGAAAACTAAGGCCATATTTTCTGAATCATGTTGTAGTAGTCAGGACGAACTTTCAGCTGGGTGAAACATTGGGCCGACCTACGGTATCAGGTCGACTCGTTAAGTGGGCAATCGAGCTGAGCGAATATGCCATCAAGTATGAGCCGAGGCGAGCCATAAAAACTCAAGCCCTGACAAACTTCATCCAAGAAGGTACCAAGGGAGAAGAAAATAAATTGGTCATGCACGTAGATAGGTCCTCAGCGGCCAAAGGGTCTGGTCTGGGAATCGTCCTCGTATCACCCGAGGGCGAGCAACTTGACTTTGCCATTAGAATGGGATTTAAGGCCTCAAATAACGAAGCAGAATACGAGGCGTTAATCAAAGGAATTCAACTCGCAATTGACGGAGGAGCGTCAGAAATTGTGGCACATTCCGACTCACAATTAGTTGTTGGACAAGTGTTGGAAAGTTGCGAGATCAAAGAAGAACAAATGATGAAATATGTCGAGGAAATCCAAAGTCTTGTGCAGGGCCTGGAGAAGTTTGAACTAACACAAATCCCTCGAGAGGAAAATAAACGAGCAGATTGGCTCGCGAGAATCGCGAGCTCGAATGATGGGAAGGTGGGAAGCTCCATCACCACCATGCATCTAGAGGGAAGCGTGTTGGGCGAAACAATGGAAGTCGAGGAAAAGGACGACTGGAGAAAATCGATTCATGAACTCCTACAGGGTCGAGTACCTATGGGAGATAAGCAGGAGGCAGAGGGTCGCTCGATATCTAAGCAAGTATTTTGAAGTCGACGGTATCATGTTCAAAAACTCTCTGGTTGGGCCTCACTTGCGATGCATCTCTAAGGATGAAGGAACCCATGTCTTGAAAGAAATACATGAAGGATGTTGCGGAGCGCATATAGGATCGCGAGCTCTGGCGGGCAAAGCCTTACGAGCAGGATACTATTGGCCCAAGATGCGAGCATGGCGGAACAGCTAGTCCAAAGGTGCGAAAAATGTCAACGCCACAGGCAGATCACTGATATCCCCGCCGAATACATGACGACCATAAACACTCCGATCCCCTTCGCGCAATGGGGAATCGACTTGGTAGGACCATTGCTGACAAGGACAGGGTAGAGGAAGTTCTTAGTAGTCGCTGTTGACTATTTTACCAAGTGGGTCGAAGCGGAACCGTTGGCAAAAATTACGGAGGAAAAGATGATTCAATTCCTGTTTAACAATATCTGTTGTCGGTTCGGAGTTCCGAAAGTACTGATCTCTGACAATGGAACTCAGTTCCAAGGGAAACGAATTCAGGCATGGTGCCTTGACATGGGAATAAAGCAAAGGTTTGCCTTGACACAGCAATAAATCGAAAAGCAAAGAAAACTTACTCATGCTCATGATGATTTATGGAGAAGTCCTGGAAAATCTGAGAAGAACGTCGGAAAATGAGAAGAGCGCCGGAAAGCTAGAAATATTGTATTTGCCGAAGAAAGAGAGAGTTCAGAGAGTCTGAGTGCGAAAAGTGAAGATTAGAAAAGGGGAGGGGTACTTATAGGGAAAGTAAAGAAACCCCAGCCCTTAGATTAAAGGCAAATCTGACGCATGAAATGATGCACGGAATACGAAGCGGTGGAGAGAGAAACGTCTTGTCAGATTCCAAACCTTTTTGAATTTCGAAATTCGAAAAGAAATCTGAGATTATCCAAACAATATGAGAATTTCCTTAAGAAGATCCTCTCGTGAGTCGAGATTTGGGAATAGATAGTCGGGAATAAGGAGAATGACTAAGAGGGAATCCTGTGAGGATTCAACCGACAAATCTACTCGTAAGCTCAGAGTCGCTTCGAGGAATTTTCGGGGGGGACTAGATGATATAGCCATACTATCGTATAGCGGCCTATATTGTCCCGGTTCGAACATTTCCGAGTCGACTTACCCGAAGTCGACTCCACCCGCATATCTCCTCGTGATATTATATTTTGTCAACGGTCCGGATCCACTTCTTAGTTGACTTCTACCATGTCGACTAGCCCAAGTCGATTCTGTCCGGAAGGATGAATAAGTGCATTAGGGTTTACCAGCGATTGGGGAATGACCTAGTCGGCTCGAGTGGACATTTTGAGTCGACTGAAGTAGTCTTGGGGCTCATGCATACCTGACGACTCCTAGACACTTCAACACATTAGAGGGAAACTATTAAAGGATAAGAAGGAATCTAAATGCTGACTATGATATGAGCGGAATGCGAACCGACCGGGGTATTCTGGACATTTCCAGTAAGTCAGCCAGGGCAGTTTGGGGATTCCAGGTAAGGGTTTTTACTTCTATATAAAGGAGCTGAGGTAACCCCAAAACCCTAACTCCCATTCATTCTACATTCTTCTCCATTACTATTTCTGCTCTCTCAGAGCAGCTCTCTTCATCTATTTCACATACTGACATGAGCGTCGGAGGCTCTACGCCGGAAACCCCTCCGGCGTTGAGTTCTTGCAGGTGTTCTCGCGGTTCAGCAACGGTTTGGAGGCTATCGAGTTAGATCTGAGCTCATTCCCATCGGTTCACTCCAGATCTGAGAGGTGACCCATCATTTTGGCGCCGTCTGTGGGGAGTTCCTGAAGGAAGTAAGAGCTTTTCACCTAGTTCTGATCTGTTTCCGATGGCCGAGAAGGAAGGACTGCAGAGAAACTTAAACGTGGATTTCAGGGGAGCATGGACAGATAAGCGACCACCGATGATCCCCTACCCTAAACCACCGCTCCAGGTGCTGGGATTTCCACCGTTCGGGATGCATGTGCCGGCGGGAGGGCGTGCGGGAGAAGAAACGCCAATTACCCCACCTTGAGTCAAGATCCCCGTGCTTACTCAAGGGGAGACCAGCCACGTGAAAAACACGAGCGGAGAAGTCAATGGTCGTGAGTCAACCGAGACGTCCTTAAGTCTGGGAAAGCAGCCTTGACCGCTCGAGCAGGAAAAGAGACCGCCGCCTCAAGTCGAGGAGCAAACGTTGACCATGACAAGGGGCGAGATGCAAAGAATGATTGCAGAGGCCGTGGCGGCCCAAATCAAACAAGCGCAAGTCGAACAACTAAGGGTCGAGCGGCCCAGGATCGAACAAGCGAGGGTTTAGCAGCCTCAAAATGAACAACCACCCCCGGAGCGCGAGCAGCAAGCGCAGTCGCAGGAGATGCAGAACAGAAGAGTCGATGAAGAGGAATCCTCTGTCAGGACTATCAATCCACAGGCGAGGAACGACACCCTGGAGCAGTTATTAGCGCAGGTGCGAGATTTGCAGGCTCGAGTCGAGGGGAGAAAAACAGGAAGCTCGAGGGGACACCCTTTTTCACAGCATATTCTAGACGCTGATTTGCCTCAGGGGTTTAGAGAACTTAACATCTGGTACGACGGGTCGACTGACCCCTCTCGACATCTGAGGAGTTTTAAAAACATGGCGGTATTGCACCACTACAATGATCCCGTTCAATGTCGAGCATTCCTAACGACTTTGCGAGGACCTGCGCAAGACTGGTTTCATCAATTACCCCCGGGAGCCGTCAGGGACTTTGACGGATTTAGTTCAAGTTTCCTGAATCAATTCGCAAGTGTAAAGGCCCAAGAAAAGTCTTACCTTACCCTGATAGGCATGCAACAGAAAGAAGGAGAATCATTGAGGGATTACGTGGCAAGATACACTCGAGCATGTGTCGACGTCCCCTCAGCCACTGAGGAAATCAGGTCGGGGGGACTCACTAGAGGACTCCTCCCGGGATTGTGCTGAAATTCCTTGGCAAAGCGACCCGGGAGGACGTTCGATAAGGTCCTCGGAAGGTGCGCCAAATACATGAATGTCGAGGAAGCCGAAGCCGACTTTTTGCAAGCGGCTAAAGCAAAGACTGAATCCCGGGACGAGAAGAAGGATAAGAAACCAATCACGTCGGGAGAAAGGAAAGGATCCATGAAGCTGAAGTTCCCCGTTGGAGATAAAGTAGGGGAGGCCCGAGGAGACCAGAAGCTATAAAGAACTTGTTACCAGATAGATGTGAAAACAAACCAACGAACAGAAGTTGAGGGAAAGAAGCCGGCGATGAGCGAGAAAAGGCCTATAAATACTGATCTCGAACCACACGGGGAGATAATGGAGATACAAATCGGAGAAACGAAGGAACAGACCACTAAGGTCGGGAAAGATCTGAAAGACGAGCTATGAAACCAACTCATCACACTACTAAAGGAGTTCAGGGATGTCTTCGCCTTCACCCCTGAGGAGTTGACGGGGATCGACCCCACTATTATGGAGCATAAACTCAACGTCGACCCCCTCAGAAAGCCAGTAAAGCAATGACTTAGACGCCATGGTGCCGAAATCAACAAAGCAAATCAAGGTGGATAAGTTGTTGCGAGCAGGACACGTCAAAGAGATCCAATTTCCCGAGTGGATATCCAACACCGTGATGGTGAGAAAGGCATTAAACAAATGGCGCATGTGCATCGACTTCCGTGACTTAAACTTGGCCTGCCCAAAAGATCATTATCCCTTACCACGAATTGATCAGCTCGTCGACTCTGCGGCTGGTTGCGAATTACTGAGTATGATGGATGCATCTCAGGGATACCACTAGATTCCATTGTGCCCGGAGGATCTAGAGTAAGGTGAGCTTCGTGACGAGTAAAGGGACGTACTGCTATGTCGTCATGCCCTTTGGGCTTAAGAATGCTGGAGCAACCTACCAACGGTTGATGGATCGAATGTTCAAATCTCAGATTTGGCGAAATATCGAGGTATATGTGGACGATATCTTGGTAAAGAGTAAGGCCTCAACCTCACACCCAGACGATTTGAGGGAAACGTTCAAAACCCTTAGGTCGTTCGGGATGAAGCTGAACCCAAACAAGTGTGCCTTTGGAGTAAAGGCAGGTCGATTCTTGGGGTATATCGTCACAGAGCGAGGAATCGAGGTGAACCGGGAAAAAGTGAAAGCCATACTCGACATGGCTCCACCAAGAAATATAAGAGATGTGCAAGTTCTGACGGGACGAATTGCGGGGCTGACCAGGTTCATTGCTCGAGCCGCAGAAAAAAGCTTCCCATTCTTCAGATTACTCAAAAAGAAGTCGACCTTCTCATGGAGTGACGAAGCGCAAATGGCCTTCGAAAAGTTGAAAGAATTCTTAGGCGAGTTGCCTTTGTTGACAAAACCAGAGCCCGGCGACGAGCTGGTGCTTTATATATCTGTGGGTTCGGTATCACTAAGTTCAGTGTTATTGCAAGAAGAAGGAGGTGTCCAAGG